TTAAAAAATAAAACTCTTTTTTATAATTATTTTTAATTGAATGGATATTTGAATATTTCAAAATATTGAAAAAAAAAAAAAAGAAAAGAAAACCGTATTCCTTTATTTTAATATTTTAATATTAAAAAAAAAATCTGAAAATTATTTGAATATTCGTGCAAAAAAAATTTATCCTGAATTTTTTCTATAAATATATTTTGAAATACTAAAAATATAAATAATATATTTTTATTTCGAATTTATATAATATTAAATTTGGAAATAATATATATACATGTGGTAATTGTTTAAATGAGTGTACAAATGTTAAATAGGAAAGAACTTAAATACATACCAAAATAAAATTGACAACTCACCAATTGAAGAATCCACCTCATCAATTGAACTCCAACTAAGCAATTTTGATAAATGACATCATCATTTGCCACATGTCAATCATTGAGGGCATAGATTCTCTTTTTATATTATATATAGATATATAGATTATATATATAAAAAATGAAATGAAAGTATTAATATTTGTATAATAAAATACAAAAATGATCCAACGGTTAAAAAAAAAGGAAGGTGGTAAATATGGTTGTCGGAAAAATCAGATGCATGGCGGCCGGCACAGCCACATTCCCAGACAGAAAGATTGGCTTTAATATATATATATATATATATATATATATATATATATATATATATATATATATATATATATATATATATATCTCTCTACATATATAAAAATATATATATATATATATATTGATATATATATATATTTAAAAATATATAATTTAGAGATATATGTCTGTGTCAGTCCATTTCGTTGACGTTACAGTTTGCCAAATCCCATGCTCTATACATAAACACTATTTCGACCACATAGTACATGTACTAACTACTATGTACACCTATATTTATTTTTATTTTATACAAATTAAGTAAGATATTATATAGCCCGGATATAAAGAGATAAATAATTTCTTCATTTAACAAAATTATCAATGTGTATTTTTCAAAAAAAAAAAATCCCTCTCGTTTCAATTCAATAATCCTTTATAAATATTTAGTAT